CAATCTCAGCCCACTGCAACCTCCATCCCAGGTTCAAGCAATTCTCCTGCCTCAGCCTCCCAAGTAGCTGGGATTACAGGCACGTGCCACCACGCCTGGCTAATTTTAGTATTTTTAGTAGAGATGGGGTTTCACCATGTTGGCCAGGCTGGTCTTGAACTCCTGACCTCATGATCTGCCCACCTCAGCCTCCCAAAGTGCTGGGATTGCAGGCATGAGCCACCACACCTGGCCCCGAGATGAATTCTGAAGGACCTGAGGGAGGTCGCCAAGAAGAAGAGAAAAAGCACTCCCAGGGCCGATAGCCTATTGTGTATGACCTGGTCTATCCCCTCAGGTACTTAGCTCTTGCCTTTGGGCCAGTTTGCCTAGATCATGGACACATCTACCCCTGGCAGTTATTACACCCCAGGGTATTTGCTCAGTGTCCACCTAGCCTGTTAAACATCTCAAAACGAAGGTCAGTTAACTAAACGTATGAAAAATGTGGCGATGGCATATTGTTTGTGACAGTAGAGCACAAAGTCCATCTCTGTTCTGTGCTGCTGAGGGGTGCTGCTGGGAGAGGGAGAGGAAGCAGATTAGGATGGGGTGAAAGTGAAAAATCACTTCCTGAGAAATGGCTGTTCATCCTGGGGAAGAGTAGAGTTGAGGCTCGTGGTCGCCAGGTTCCAAGTCCGAAGGACAGTCAGGAGCAGGAGCCAAAGTGACCTGGGGCCCCAGCACAGAGCCAGGACCCATGAGGGGAAGTCACACGGAGCAGGTTTTAGCTTGGAATGAGGAGGACCTTTCCAAGCAGTTGCAGAATCATTGAACAGGAGTTGGGGGCCACAGAGATCTCCCTTGCAGCCCCCTCACTTAGCAAGACCCAGGTGGGGGATGGGACTTCCCCAGGGCTACTCACAGAGTGACCGCAAAGCCAGCACCAGCTCTGGGCTCCTGTCTCCTAGCTCTTTCCTATGCCTGAGTTTGGGAGGGGTGTCCTATAATTAAGTACGTTTATAGAATCTTTGATTTTTGTTGAGCCAAGATCATCTTTTGTTTCATCCCCCAGAGTTATACGTTGTGTCTCAGTGTGCGTATTTTCAACAACAATCAAATTCTAAAGGACACATTCTGGCTCCCCCAGTTTGGAGCCAGAACCAAGTGAGAAGACAAGTCTACCCCTGGCAGTTATTACACCCCAAATAAGATTGGATACAGGCTGGATATAGACCGGTTGACCTTGTTTGCACAGGAGTTAACAACAAGCCCAAGAGCTGAGAGGGCTGTGTGCCTATCATGGTCACCACCTGGCTGGACTGCGGGTGAATACAGGGGACACAGTCCTTCCATCTGCAGACCCAAGAGGCACCCTGAGCAGAGTGCAGGGGATGAGACTTTATACTGCCTGGGACAACAGAAGCAAGGCTGACCAGCAGGAATCAGAAGCCCTGGACGCACATAGGACATGGCTTCAACATGAAGAGCTGTCATGCACGGAGCCCTGAGTCCATGGCAACTAGGACACTGGGATGGGAGGAACAGTACTCAGGGAAGGCTTCCTGGAAGAGGCGGGTAGGGCTTGGACAGGTTAACTTGGTAAAGGGAGGGAAAGCTACCTCCCAAGTGGAGGAACCATGGTGGGGAACAGATGGCAGGAAGAAAATATGAAGAGTGCTTGGGGACCTCACATAGAGCCCACAGTTACTTTCATCATGAATAAAATAACTATAGTTTATTGGACACTTACCATGAATTAGGTTCCAAGCTAGGAACTTGGCATATATTCTCGTGTTTAACCCTCTTATCAATTCTAAAGTTCCCAGTTTACAGATACAGTCATGCAAGGTCTGCAATTGTGATTTAAAAAAAAAAAAAAATCTCTATATCTCTGGCCCCTAGCACAGAGCCTGGCACATAATGGGTGTCTAGTAATGTTTGTTGAATGAATGAATGAAATGATAAAACTAGAGGATTTAGTATAGACATCTCTCCAGCATCCAGGATGTCCAAGGCCACCTGGCTCGAGGACATGGGAATGACTTTAACTTCCCACCACCTGCAGTGCTGCTTTTGAGAGATTCTTTATCATGAAAGACCGTGAGCTGAGCCCTGCACGCAGTAGGCACTCAACAAATGTGGGCTGAATGATTGGCAGCCCTGCTCAGTATGGGGGTAAAAGTATGCTGAATTCAGAACTAGGGGGCCCATGTTCAGTTGCCCGCTGGGTCACTGCTAAGCATGTGGCTCTGAGTGGGTACTTAACCTATTTGAGGCTCCTCCTGCCTCTTTAGACCAGGATGAATTATGCCCAATTCATGGTTTGCCGTGAGCATTAAATGCAGGAACTTGTGAAGCGCCTGTGAGCCTCCAACACTGCCCCCAGGGAGAGATTATGATGATTACGGTCAGTGGGAAGCTGAGTATTATTTCAGTGCCGTGGGACGGTGCATACAGCAGGGCGTGTGAGTCAGAGGGGCAGGCTGTGTGGCCGGGGTGCGGTGGGGTGCCAGCCACACCATTCCCCACTCTTGATTGATTCTGATCAACCTGCATATTTCATGCGCTGCCTCCGTGCATCAAATAAATAAATCAGGGCCTCCTCTGAGCAGCAGGACCTGATTGGGGCATCTGCAGGGCTCAGGACTTCAAAAGGCCAGCGCAGGGATGCTGGAGCCCCCAGCAGATTCTGCTAATGTGACATTTAGGGGCCGGGTGACATAGGCAAGCGACAGCCGCTTGCGCAGTGTGATGCCCCCTAAATGGCGGGGACCCTTGTGGGGAGAAGGAAGTGACTTTTACAGCCCGTTTCCACCACCCACGGTGAGAGGAACACAGGCAGAAGTGTGGCCCAGGGGATTCCCTGTTCTGTTTTCTGAATGTTTCTAAGGGACCAGCAGCGCACCTGCATTTCTGCAAAGAAATTCACTTAGAGCTAGAGCCCCAGGAGGCATTTCCTCAGGGTACGCCTTGGAATTCCTATGTAACCTCTAGGCATTTTGTTGGCCAGGGTCTGCAGCTCCCACCTGCACTTCACAGAGACCTTCGTCTGGGGATGGGTGGATGATCCTTCTCTTTGTGCTTCCCACATTCAGGAGGCACAGGTGGTCCATGGAGTGGGCACTTGGCACAAACTGTCACCTCTCAGGAATCCCACTGAGGCAGCCCCCTGTCAGGGAAGAGCATGGGCTATGGAAAATGTCCAGGGTTTGAGTCTGGGCTCTATTCTTATTACCACTGGGGCCCTGGGCAAAGCCACAAGCTGTCTGAGCCTCCGTCTCCTTGTCTTTAAGGTGGGACTGAGACCACCTACTCCACACACTGTTTTAGCTAGGTAAGAAAATGTACATAAAATAGCACTGATCCAGCACACTATAGAGGCTTGGTCAATGCCCCCAGCCCTTCCTACCTGCTCCCCACCCTTCTCAAGCCTGCTCTTCCCTGGGGGCCCTATCTCTGACCTCAAACTCACTGCCCCTTGTTCCATCCCTCTAACCACAACCTTCCGCTGAATCTGCTTCATCTGTGGTCACCGGTATCCTCCCAGATGCCAGATCCTCAGACCCTGCTCAAGGGGCTTCTCCCAGCCTGTCTGTGGCATGTGGCACTGCAGCCAGTGGTGAAGGTGTGCCTTTCCTTGGCTTCCAAGGTGCCCACTCCCTCCCAGCACCCTGCTCCTGCGTCCTGGCCACCCCTTCCCAGTCTCTGCTCTGCCCACCCCAGGGGTCAGGGCTCCTCCAGAGTCTGCACTTGGTCCTTTCCTCTTCTCACTTGGCTCACTTTCCCTGGGGGTCTCATTCCTGCCTCCGACTCTAATTCCCAGCTTCCATGCCAATGACTCCAGCTCACCCCCTAGCCATACCTCTCCCCTTGGCTCTAGACTCAAAAGCATCTCTGCCTTGATGCTCCACAGGCACCCCACGCTCAGCACATCCAAGATGGAACTCGTTATTCTTCCCCTTGTATCTGGACCCCTCTCCTGGGTTCCCCACCCAGGGATGGGAACTGAAACCTCTTATCCCCACCAGAACCTCGGATGACCTTGGTGCCCCTCTTTTTCATCTCCCATTTGATCGCTCAATTGTCCTGATTTTACCTGGAAAAAAGAAACCTTACTTAAATCTGATCTACCTCTCCATTTCTTCTGCCACCACTCTGGGCCAGTCCTCATCATCTTTATCCTTGACGATGACCAAAACAATGAACTAAACCCACCAAGAACTGCAAGAAGGATGAGAGTAAATTTGAATGTATCACTTGGGTTTAAAAACACACTGAACAAGTGCAAGGAGCCAAGGGCAGTAGGAGACTGTGCTTAGTATGACACAGCAGAGCAATGTGGCTTCTGAAAGGTATTAATTCTACCTGAGGATGCATATAATAGCAACGTGAACTCCAGAATGAGGGAGGGGATGGTGCCCTCTACTTGCTGCTGACCAAATCATGCCTAAAGTGCATTGGTCAGTCCTTGGGTCTACACCCTACAGAAAGACTGACTTTGTGGAATGTGGCCCAAGGAGGGGTTGGGGTGGAGGAGCGGGGAGATTGAAGTGCTGTTGTGTAAAGAGGAGTTGGGGGGTGATGTCAGCAGAATGACCTGTCTTTGTCTTCGAGTATCTGGGCCTATCCTAGGGAAGATGGAGCAAACGTGATCTGTGTGGTTCTAGAGGGCAGAGCCAGTAGAGCAGGGGAAATGTTATGGGAAGACAGTTCAGCTCAGTGGCCAGGAAGAACTTGATACCAGATAGAGTACAGTTGTAGGGAGCCTGGGCTCCCCATCTTTGAGGTGTGAAGCAAAGGATGGACAACCAGTTGATGAGACAGAGACAGTACGAGAGAATGTTCCAGCCTAGATCAGGTTAGAAGTTTTGTGATTCTAACCGGAAGAGGCATTGGAGAAAGGGAAGCCTGCAAGAATATACCCAGGGCCTGTGAGGGGAGCAAGAGCCTGGAATAGGAGCACCCAGACACAAACCCGACTCCCAATCTAACTGGTCACTGTCTCTTGCTCCCCACAGACAGCAGGGAGGTGAAGGTGGGAGAGTACAACGCTGTGGCCGACACACTGGAGATCATCAATGACACCATCAGGTTCCAAGGTAAGGCAGTTGGGCTTCTCAGAGGAGGGGGCCTGCCCAGTTGCTCCCAAGCCTGGACATTGTCTAAGGGTTAGGGGCAAGTTCATCATCCTTGGCTTTTTGGGGTCAAGGGTACATCCTCAATACATACACTCAATCACTGAGCACAGGGCTCCAATCACTTGTACGGGCTCCAGTACCTGGAATGGGTCACTAGAGTTTGTATGAAGTGCACACTGAGGTGTTTAAACCATTGAATGACCAGGGGTAATTCTTTTTAAATGTAGCCCTGTTAAATTTAGGTCTATCTTCTCCTCTGGCAAAGGGTTTGACTGGGTTGGCAATAAGGCCTGTCTATCTGCTGCTCTTCCTGGAAGATTATTTCTTCTCCTCTGTTAGAGAACTCCTCTTCAGCTCCTACAACCAGGTCAAATGACACCTCTTTTGTGCAGTCTTCCTTAATTACCATCCAACTGAGCTAATGACTCCCTTCTCTTTGCTTCTGCAGTCTTTTTTCTCTGCCTCTCCTGTGACCACTGTCACTTTACATTGATATTACTAGGTGATTCAGCTATGAGTCCCTGATTGGATCCTATTTGACTTTAAATTCCTGGCACCTGCCAAGGTCTGACGCATGTTGGAGACTTGGTGGTATCTGATGACAAAATGAATTGATCAAGTGGATGGGTGGGTGGGTGAATGGATGGATGGATGGATGGATGGATGGATGGATGGATGGATGGATGGATGGATAGGTGGGTGTGTGGATGGATGGATGGATGGATGGATGGATGGATGGATGGATGGATGGATGGATGGATGGTAGGGTGGATGCATGGATGGGTGTGTGAATGGGCAGATGGATGGATAGATGCATAGGTTGGTGGGTGGGTGGGTGGGTGAGTGGATAGATGGACAGGTAGATGGGTAGACAGATGGCTGGATAGATGGCTGGATGAATTGATCAAGTGGATGGTTGGATGCATGGGTAAGCCGATAGATAGATGGGTAGGAGGGTAAGTGGATGAGTAGACAGATGGACAGTGGATGGATGGATGGATGGACAAACAGTCTAGTCACTGAATAGCAATAGAGAAAGCTGCCACATCCATAGCACACTGGTATTGTTACTTTGATTCCACTGGGTCAGCAGAAATTGGCTTTCTGTGCCAGGGGCTTTTACTTTCCTTCTTGAAAGCAAGGGCACCAGAGAAGGCTCTTCCACAAACCCTTTGATTAGACTCTGTCATGTTCCTATGTTTCCACTGGATCTGAGGGATTCAGCCTTGAGAACATTGCAAAGCAAAACTCTAGTCAGCCTCTGAGAACCAGAGTGGTCTCCACACTCAGGTGAGCCTCCCTATCCCAACTGAGGGAGCTGTCACCAGACATATCGTCACATATTACCTCAAGGGTGACTCCCCAAATTCACACAGCCCGTTCTAACCACCAGAGCCCTGGTCCCCTAGATCGGCCTGTCTGCTCTCGGACTGGGGAGATCAGGGTTTACTGAACAAGGACTCTGGGTTTGCAAATTGGAAAAAAGATTGAAGCACTAAATAAATAAAAGACACAAAGCACAACGGAGAGGAAAAGCACGAATTTGGTGGGGCAGGGACCAGTAGCCAGGACAGTTGCTAAACAACAGTCAGAGGGTACCAGGTCTTCATTAGTGATGCCCAGGCCCTGCCTTTCAGCCCCAGGCTCTGCCCCCAGGCCGAGAGAACACAGGAAGCAGCTGTGCCAGGCCTACTCCCTGCTTCTCAGACCTTCCCCACTACCCAGACCATGAATAATCAGCCTGTGAACACAGAGGCCAGGCAGTTCAGGGCAGAGCCCAGGCCTTCTATCCACACCTGGCCTGAGTTCCACTCTCACTCAGACCCCTGCACCAGCCCCCAGTGAGGCTTCTCACCGCTCTGCTAGCCTTCCCTCCTCAAGTCCATTCTGCCCTCAGCAGTCAAAGTGCCCTTGCTGTCATGGCAGGCTTAAGACGCCACCTCTGCTCAGAGCCTCGCACGTCCCCACTGCTCAGAGAGAGGGGACCTCACTCTGAGCTGTGGCCCCAAGTCTTCCGTAAAAGGACCCTTCCTCCCTTCTCTGTCTTCTCTCTCAGATCCCCCCAACTGAACTGCTTACAGTTCCTCAACTGTCCTGAAACACCACTGGGCCTTGGCTCATGCTGTGCCTTCTGCCCAGGATGCCCTTTCCTTCTCAGCTTCCTGGCCAACAGCCAACTCCTCTGCTCATCCTTCGAGACTCGGCTCCTTTGTCGCCTCCTTTCTGTAGCATTTCCTGACTCTGTCAGGCAGGACTGCACTCTGCTCCCTGCTCAGGCGTCCTGTCTGATGTTATCACATCACCTGGACCCCAGCATCACTGGCAGCAGTTTGTGTAGTGGTTAGGGCACAAGCTTCAGGGTTAGGCAGATCTGAGTTCAAATCCTGCCACTTACTAGCTGTAAGAGCCACGTAACACCTAGAAAATCATTGCCCCCTCTGTCAAATGGGAATAATCTTAACTATGCTTGAGGCTGTTGGGTGGATCAAATGGGAAAATCTCTATATCTTGCTTAGACTGTCATAGGCATTCAATAAATAGGATTGCTTATTAGTACTTTTCTCTTTTTTCCTATGGCTAGTGTGTAAGTTCCCTGAAGGCAGGGACAGTGTATTTTTCATCTTTGTATCATTGGTGCTCAGTCCCAGCCTGACAGTTGGGAGTTGATTATTAATTGTGATTAATCATCATTAATGATGAATGAATGAGTGAATGGTAATGAATGGATGAATAATGAATGAATGGACCAGATGAAAAGCAAGAAGGAAAACTCAGGACTTCTGCTGTTACTAATACTCATGATAAACCAAGCATTTGGTGTCCACAAAGTCTTAAGATACCCCTTGTAGAGCCACCATTTTGCAAGAAGAGAAGAAGGAGTAAGAAGGAGACAACTTTCTCTTGTCTGTTGTCAATTTTCTGGAGTTGTTTCTACACAATGGGCTCCAAACCCAGTAGTGATCATATCACCTGTGAACCAAACCTCAGTCTTCTTTATCAGTGTCCAGAGGGGGGCTTGTTTCCAGCCAGGAACTCACAGACACCCCAGGACTGTTCTTGCATTTGGTAGCCAGAAGGCACCTGAGCCAGGTGTTTGGGGAAGGATGATGGACAGAGGGGGAAGAAGCTTCCAGATGGTGAGCTTTCACTTCTGGAAGCAAGAAATGATGTTACCTCCATCTCCTTGTGTCTGCTTTAGCCCAGACTTTTGGCCCTTGATGCCACTTTTCTTATAAATGTTACTTTACATGGAATTGCTTAAGGTTTCACATTAACCACGTCAGCAGGTTCCTCGCTGTTTTCAAATCTGGCAACTTCCCTAAATTTCTTAGATGGTTCAAACTCTTAATCCACCGACTGTTTCTCCCTCGCTCTCTCTTTCTCTCTCTCTCTCTTTTTTTTTTTTTTTTTTTGTGTGTGTGTGTGTGTGAGATGGAGTCTCACTCTGTCACTTAGGCTGGAGTACAGTGGCATAATCTTGGCTCACTGCAGCCTCCATCTCCTGGGTTCAAGTGATTTTCCTGCCTCAGCCTCCCGAGTAGCTGAGACTACAGGTGTGCACCAGCACACCCAGCTATTTTTGTATTTTTGGTAGAGACAGGGTTTTGGTAGAGACAGGCCAGGCTGGTCTTGAACTCCTGACCTCAAGTGATCCACCCGCCTTGGCCTCCCAAAGTGCTGGGATTACAGGCATGAGCCACCGCGCTCAGCCAAAGCCACTGAATATTTCTAAACCCATTTGAACTTGCTAGCAGTATTTTAAACACAGACCGTCCGGGGAGTTCTCACTCCCTGCTGCCACATCTGCCCCTTTCCTGCTTGTCTCCCAAGAAGAGAGGCATAACTGGGACCCTGGTGGGGCTCCCAGATTCCCAGGCTTGGCTACTTTGTAACATCCGGCTGATTCCACATACCCCTACTGGAGAGAAAAGCCCTGAAGTTTCACAATTCCACAGCAGAAACCTGACCTAAAATAGCAGCTAAGAAAGAGGGATTTGCAGGAAGCTGGGGGAGTCCCTGAATCCCTCATCCCAAACCAGCCTATGCCTGCTAAAACTAAAACAGGACTGAAAGATGGATTTGCTCTGAAACCCTCAGGGTTCCCCCAGGTTCCTGGTGCTCTTGAAGAATGAGCAGCGCACCTCTGCAGTCACAGAGAGAAATGGAATCCCACAGTTCCAGGCCAGTTCTGGCACAGCAGGGAGAGGAAGGTAGCTTCTGCCTCCCACAGTTACTCAGTCTTATGGAAACAGAAAGCCAGATAGAGCTTTTAAAAAACAATGACATTCAAGCAGAAATTCCACAGCCAAAACACGTATGTGTCACCATGGAACCAACAGGCAAGGTGTCCATCCCGTTGAGGAGGGATCATTTATTGTGTATGTTTAGGAGCAGAGATCTTGAGGCCAAAGCCAAGTTCTTCATCCCCAAAGGCACCCGGTGGTGCCCACTCACATCACCCAGCCCTGTGCTTCCAGGCCGTTGTTACCTTGGGGAATAAATGGTGATAGTTTTTCAACAGTGTAATTAGACCAAATCAAATTCTAGTCTTCTAATGGCTATTAAATGCATCACAAATCCTTTATTGATTCTATTTAGAGAAAGAAATAAGTCCTGGCTCAGGCTCCCTGTTGGGCAGACTGGCCAACCGCCGGATCTGCCTCACCCAGTAGATAGATGTGCCTTGTGTAGAGTTTGTGCACAGGGCCTGGCTGGATGTCAGGGACACTAAGGCAAAGGTGTTCTCGGGGAATTACTTGCACTGGGTCTCACTGATGTCTTCTCTTGATCCTCTAGGATCCGAACCACCAAAAGACAAGACCATCATCCTGGAGCAGCTGCGGAAGATCTCCCTACCTCTCTACAGCATCCTCTCTGCCCTCACCATCCTCGGGATGATCATGGCCAGTGCTTTTCTCTTCTTCAACATCAAGAACCGGAATCAGAAGTAAGCCAGACTGGTCCTCCTCTGCGATGCCACTTTCTGAACTGACAAGCCTGTGGACACAGTATAGGAGTGCCACATGACAGATTCCCCGGGGCCACAGAAGTCTGCAGGGCAGAGTTTCCCAAAGTGTTACTCAGGGGCTAGGATGTTGTAGGTGTTACATGTGTGTGAGTAGGCGCATGCGAACACACACACACAGAGGCAGGGCTGCTGGTAGTTGCACAGGAGTGTAGTCAAAGAAGTTTGAGGAAGTTAAATAAAATCGAAGAGTCCAAATCCATGGGCCTTCTCAGAGCTTTGGATATACTCCTGTACTTTGTGGAGGTCCAGGAGGAGAGATAGAGAAGACAGAATTCCCCAAACTTCTTTGCCCCTATCCCCTAGCATCGCTGGGAATCACCACTGAAGGAGGTCACAAAGTCCGGTGAAACGGATTTCCTTTGGTACAGTTAGTTCATTATGGCCAGGAAGCCCTCCCTTCCATCATCCCGTATGGCCCTCCAGATAACTCCTCATATCACAGAGAAGAGCCCTGAAGTTCAGCGACGGAGTGCTGCTGTCCACTCGTGGCAGACTGTCTCCTTGGTTTCTTGTCTTAATTTCTTTTCCCCACCACATGCCCTTAATTCTCCAGAGGACAGAAGCTGACTGAGTTATTCCGGTCAGTCGTGGGTAGAACTGGCCGCCACTCCAGGCGGTGGTTTTCACCAAGTGCGTTTTGCTTCTTTGGTGTCCATAGCAAATCCCTTAACCCAGCCCCAAGCCTTTTGGTGGAATGAGCAGGGGTGCAGAGCGTGGGCCATCATGGGGACAGCCACCGTGACCACCTACATGGTTCCGTGGCTCTGCCATGGTGCCCAGAAGCTACACTGCAGGAACTCGTGGGCTGTCGGGAACAAGCCTGATTCTGAAGAAAACAGGTTTTTTGGTTTATGAGATTTTTTAGTTTCTCCCTGCTTGCAAAGAAGGAATTTGGTGGCTCTAGAGTTTTGTGTGTGTGTGCTTGGTTTTTTAATTTATTTATTTATTTATTTATTTATTTTATTTATTTTTTTAGAGCCAGAGTCTCACTATGCTGCCTAGGTTTTTCTCAAATTCCTGGCCTCAAGTGATCCTCCTGCCTCAGCCTCCCAAGTTGCTGGAATTAGAGGCATGAGCTACTGTGTCCAGGGTTATTTTGTTGTTGTTTGGCTTTTTTTGATAGCAATTGCTTAGGTCAAACCTATTTCCTGAAAAACAGAAAAGAGTTTTCTTCTCCTGTTATTTTATGTTACTTACAACAAATAGCACATCTACTGGCCCAAAAAAAAAGTGAGGCAATATTTGCCCACTCCATACAAAGCTTAAATGCTGAGCATACCTCTTAGCACTTGGCACAGGCCTGGGCACATAATCAGCTCTCAAAGTTAGATTGACACCCCAGATGCCTCAAGAAGTCCCATCAGGACAGCAAGTTGCCCCATCATAAGACTAAACTCATTGAATTCCTTAACTACCCCCTCTTGGCCTCCTGGGGGAAAGTTACCATCACTCTTTCAAACAGGCCAGCATCCAGGTGAAGTTTTTGTTTTGTTTTTTAACTGGCTTGGCTATTTTAAAATCTGCAGAAAGATAGAAAATAAATATTGCTATGGTTCCCAATCCCTCCCCCTACTTCTCTCTTCCTAAATCCGTCCTATAAGGCCCACCTCCTCTGGGAAGCCTGCCCCAACCCCCAGCTCTCCCCTCCCCTGACTGCTGTAGGAATAAGAATGGAGGCACCTAAGTAGTTGATGGTTTACAAAAGGACCTCCAGGGACCCAGCGTCATCTCAACATCACGTGTGTCCTAGTTAACAGGATCAGTTATCTCATGTACAGGTGAGGAAATTCAGCCAGGCTAAGTGACTTGGCAAGGTGTCACTTTTATGGAGTGGCCAAGTCTAAGCCCTGGACCCCGTGCTCCCAACTTGAAAGCCAGGGTGCCGTCCACAGAGGAAGAGCAGCAGGCTTCTTATTTCCCTCTCCCTTTGACATACTGCATGTTTAAAATGTGAAGGGTTAACAGAATTGCAGAATGCAAAGGAAAAAGTGTTGGGGAACAATTGGTCGTAATTACAGTCTGCAAAAGAGCCCCTCAACCACAGGGTGCCTGAAACCTGAAGCCCTTCTGAGCTGATTGTGCTGGGGGAGCCAGGTACCTACCAGCCCACTGATGACCCTGTCTTGCTGGGCAGCTGGGGGTCACCACAGGGTTCCAGGAGGAAATGACAGAGAAAGATGCAGAGTCTGGAAGTATAAAGAATGCTCCCTGCTCCCCACCGCAGCCTAGTGAGGACAAGGGTAGTGGGTGGGTGGGGACTCTGGTGTCTACCTCTGTCACCCGCTGACTGGAGAGGTGGTCCTGCCCACATGTGTGGCTGTCTTTGTGCACGGAACAGTGTGAGCTTTCCTAAGCAGCCCTCAGACTCACAGTTAGGCCTCCTTGACACAGTTCACTCAAGGCTGGGGAGTGTAGTGTGGGACTTTCTCCTCACTGTGGGGAACGTGGCTGAAGTTACATGTCACATTCTCTAGATTTGACAGGAGTTCTCAGCCCCAGCCAAAAAAAAAAAAAAAAAAAAAACCTGTCGACTTAATGCTTTTGTTTAAACTGAAAATTAATGGATGAAGAAGCTGATGTGACAAGCTGTCCCTGGGGAAGTAATGGGTGAATTTGACAAAGGAGACAGGGAAATCAACAATTAGAAATATATCGTTGTCTGAGGCCTTTTAGTGAAGGACAGACAGTAGGTGGGGAGAGGGGTAGAGGAAACAGAGCTTTTCGTTATTTCTCTGTAAGGGGAAGGTTCCAGGGTGAGCACCTGGGTGCTGGGGAAAATCTGACTAGAAATTTGGGCCTTCCTGCTGATGTGTCCCCTGGGGCCCCATGGCACCTTACCGTTTCTCTCTTTCCCCTCTAGCCTGAGCAACAAAATATATCTAGCAAGCATTTGGAAAATACCTGTTGAAGGAATAACTAAATTAACAGTTGTGTTAAATCTATTGTCTCTTTCTCTTGTCAGGCTGATAAAGATGTCAAGTCCGTACATGAACAACCTTATCATCCTTGGAGGGATGCTCTCCTATGCGTCCATATTTCTCTTTGGCCTGGATGGATCCTTTGTCTCTGAAAAGACTTTTGAAACACTTTGCACCGTAAGTCATTCTGCATAAGCCAGTGGCATATGATAGAAAGTTTCCTAGGTGACCTCAGTCATCAAAAACACAGATGCAAACCCAGAAATACATGAAAATACATGAACAGGCAGGAAACAACCCATTTAGTAGTTCTTCAACTCAACAGGGAAGAACGATGTTACTGTCAGGCCGGCATTGGGTATAAGTACTGCCTGTAAAGTTAAGATAATGGACTTCCAGCCTGGGCAACATGGTGAAACCCTGTCTCTACAAAAAATACCAAAAAATTAGCCAGGCATGCTGGTGTACACCTGTAGTCCCATCTTCTCAGGAGGCTGAGGAGGGAGGATTGCTTGAGCCCAAAGATCAAGGTTGCAGTGAGTTGTGATCTCGTCACTGTGATCCAGCCTGGGAAACAGAGAAAGACCCTGTCTTAAAAAAAAAAGATAATGGACTTACCAGGCCACCGTTAGAAGAGAGCCCACTGAGAAATGACAGAGTAACACAGAAAAGGAGGGAAGAAAGTTATCATCCAGGAAAGCATCAGCACCAAGGGTAAGAGTCAGGGTCAGGATCGTTTAAGAAGGAACAGATCCTCCCCTCTACCTCAAAAACCATCAAAGAATATGATGATAGATCTTAGTATGTCTGACTTTGAGTTATATGGTAAAAGCTATAATTGTTATTTTCTATTTAATGGTGTTTTCTTGAATGGTTTTTTCCTTATTGTTCCCCTACGGAGCATTTTTAGACATTCTTTCCTAACGATTCCTCTTATGAAAGTTTAATACCGGAAATATAATGTATATCTGTTTGTGTACTTTATATATATATATATGGTTTATACATAAAAAAGATTAATGTTTCTTCACATTCAAGAACCAACAGTTGCCCCCAAGGGGGCTGTATCATCCCTGTGAGAGATATATATATATTTAATGAAGTACAAAGCAGTGTAATTTATTTACTATATTTTAGAAAGATTATTTTTAAAGTTAATTAACATGTTAAAAATTTTAATGCCCAAAGAAATGCCTTTTAGTTTTTTTTGTTTGTTTTTTGTTTTTTGTTTTGAGACGGAGTTTCGCTCTTGTCGCCCAGGCTGGAGGGCAATGGTGCGATCTGGGCTCACTGCAACTTCCGCCTCCTGGGTTCAAGCGATTCTCCTGCCTCAGCCTCCCAAGTAGCTGGGATTACTGGCATCCGCCACCATGCCCAGTTAATTTTATATTTTTAATAGAGACAGGGTTTCACCATGTTAGTCAGGCTGGTCTCAAACTCCTGACCTCAGGTGATCCACCTGCCTCTGCCTCCCTAGTAATTTTTTTAAAGGGGGTTATGTATTAGCAATCACTTAATAGTTGTATGGAACTAACTCTCAGTTGAAAATATCATGAACTTACTTTTTAAGAATGAAGTAACCAGTTGGGATTTATTTCTGGACATTGACTAAGATCTGTCCAAATGGGGTTAGCCAGTTGGGTCTCTTTGGAGTCCCAGATGCAGTAATTCATCCAGTCCCCTGCCTAGAAGACCAGAGCTGAAGGGGATGGTCAAAAGATCAGTGCTGAGTGGATTAATCCAAAAGCCACTCCTTTGTTGGTGCTGTTTTCTTTCAAGACGTTGAGAGCACTGTGGGCCCTTTTTGGCAAAGCAGCCTTCTTTAGGCTGCATTTGTTGTTCACAAGCCTCAGTGTGCCCACTGCTGGATAATAAGGGCTGAAGACTAGCAGTGAGGGACACTTAAGTGAAGGACCCCTTAAATGTGCTGCAAGTCCCCACTCACACCCCAGAATTTGAGGACTGATCTGGGCCAGTCCCTCTGCTCTGGGACAGCACGTGGAGGGAAGCCCCCTGAGATCTTACGGTCTACGGGATTTTGCTCCCCGGATTTCTGCAATGATTAAACCGGACTGACTGTTACACATCATCAAGAAATCGTTCCTGTTACCAGTAACTTCAGTGTGAGCATGAGCTGTCTAGCCAGGGAGAGGTCTACAGATACACTGACTTTATCCTCAATTGGGCAGTGCCTTGAGAAGTGTGTGGTCGAGTCCCCAGTAACTGAGGGGGTAGTGAGGTCACTGGTGTGCTCAGGCCCCTCTCCTTTCCTGGAGGGACCTCCATGGCCATCAAACCCCAGTGCTCCAGGGTCACTTGGTTCATTCTTCCCACTCAAGAGTTTTTCACTCCAAGCCTGGAACTGGCTCATTCCCACCAAAAGACCAAAAGAGTGTGGCCTTCCCATAATTCCCATTATTCTGCCCTTCTGGGAGTGAAGAAAGTGAATACAAAAGATGCAAGTCCCTGGCTTCACTGTGCCTGGAGTCAGCTTACAAAGAAGCTGAGATGCTCAAAAGTCCTTGTGGGTATGGTTCAGTGGGGTTGTTCTCTAAAGAATACAGCCTTCTGGGGCCGGGTGCAGTGGTTCACACCTTTAATCCCAGCACTTTGGGAGGGCAAGGCAGGCAGACTACCCAAGGCCAGGAGTTCAAGACCAACCTGACCAACATGGAGAAACCCTGTCTCTACTAAAAATACAAAATTAGCCAGGTGGGGTGGTGCATGCCTGTAATCCCAGCTACTCAGGAAGCTGAGGCAGGAGAATCGCTTGAACCCAGGAGGCAGGGGTTGCAGTGAGCCGAGATCATGCCATGGCACTCCAGCCTGGGCCACAAGAGCAAAACTCCATCTCAAAAAAAAAAAAAGAGTGTGGCCTTCTGGCATGAGAATGATGACCAAAGCACATGGAAGTCTTGCTAGTTTTGGTGGAAGTGTGAAGACCACTGAGTCTCTGATATTCCTACATCAGCATGACTTTTATGCCCTGAGATGCCTAACAATTTCATGAGCATACAATTTATTTATGGTCAGCTTTCCTGGGCAGTGGTGAGGCCTGAATAAAAGGTTGCTCCTGAGGGACCCTGATGAGGTTGAATGAGGAAAGTGAGGATTTCTCTCTTCCATCTGTGCTTAGGCTTCCTCCCCAAGTTTTAGGACGCTATGATGATTACAGTAATGGAAATGGTACTGGGGCCGGGTGCAGTGGCTCATGCCTATAATCCTAGCACTTTGGGAGGCCGAGGCGGGTAGATCACCTGAGGCCAGGAGTTCAAGACCAACCTGGCCAACATGGCAAACCCCGTCTCTACTTAAAAATACAAAAATTCACTGGGCATGGTAGTGCACGCCTGTAGTCCCAGCTACTCGGGAGGCTGAAGCAGGAAAATCGTTTGAACCCGGGAGGCAGAGGTTGCAGTGAGTTGAGATTGCGCCACTGCACTCCAGCCTGGGTGACAGAGCAAGACTCCATCTCAAAAAAAAAAAGATACTGTGGGCAAGTTTGGCAACTCCATTTTCTCAGTGGCATCCCTGAGAGGCGAGGGGCTTGCCTCGCTCCCCCAGCTGAGAACCAGTGGAGCAAAATCCTACCCTCGTTCTACCACGACCCCAGTCCCTCCCGGGGGCCACTCTGCCCATCTCCTCATCACTTGCTATTGGCCACCTGGGAATGCCTCCAGCAGGCCTGAGTTTCAGTCTTCACTGCAGAGACTCCTGCAGCAGACATCAAGGGCTGCCCAGCCTTCAGAAACTCTCTCCTTCCCAGAAAGAAGTTCCTGACATCTCACCTTGTTCACAAGCCAAAGGCTATGAAAGCACAGGTGCTTTCTCAAGTTTGACCTGAATTCGACAACCATGGGGTGACGCAGGCTGGGGAGCAAAAGCACGGACATCCCCCATACCCAGGGCTTTTCTTTTTAATGAAGCCTGACATTCTATTCTGGGAGTCACGCTCATTTGTGTGAGGGGAAGGTTGTCCTGGGAAGCCGGGGAAGGCTGGTATGAATAAATCATAAAGCGCTTTACAAATCAGCATTGGCTCTGAAGATGAGGGCCCAAAAAGATGCTGGGGCCCAGTTCTCGCCGCCCCTGAGAATTAATTTATTTGCAGTCAAGGCTGTCTTAGAAGCTCTGTAAAGGGGAGTCCACACGCATGACTGTGGGGAAAAGGCATAGATTATCTACCCTGGATCGAATTGGGTCAGCATAGATGTGTACATGAGTTAGGGCTGGGGCCATTTATTTACTAATTCTCAATATTGCCCAGGAAGAGGAAGTGAAAGCTCTTGAATTTAGAGCCTAAGTATCAGTCCCCGATGGGTACAATTTGGATTGTATTCCACCTGCTATTCCAGGGTGGGCAGCTCCTTCATTTCACTTGGTGCCGTGGATTCTGTTCTTCGGACCTAGAAGGCTGCTCCCAGCAAACTCCCACCAAGCAGGGAGCTGCAAGGAGAAGTAGGCCCGTGTGGTGTAGTGATCACGGATCTTCCAACAACAGCCTGCACTCGACTGCCACCTCCTCCACTTACTAGCTCCTGACTGCAGCAAGTGACTTAACCTCAGTTTTCTCATCTGTAAAATGAGCGTAACAGTTTTCCCTCTGCAGAATTGCAGTGTGGGTTAAACAAGACGATTCAGAAAAGCCGCCTGGAACTCAGGGAGAGTGCTACATGGAGGGATGTAGGAGGAGGGACAGGCATCACAGCTTGTCACCTTGCATCCTCGTCACAGTGTAATTTCCTGGTGTCCCACACTGGGTTCTGTAAATCTTAAAGGACAGGGGACAAGGTAGACCATGAGGCCCGGTTCAGACATGGTGCAGCCGAAGTCACAGTTCTGTCTGCTCTGTTGCCATATACATGCTGCTTTTTTCTCCCTTTTAGATTTCAATGTAGCAGCCTAACACAGTGAGAAGCCATGAACACCACCTCAGGCAGAAACCTATCATAGTCACAAGATTAGGCCTCTCTAGGGGCTACACCTCTGCTCAGACAAGGGTGGGTGCGTGTGTGAGTGAGTGCACACACACTCTCACACACACACACACAGTGCTACTGCTAGGGACGCAGTTTCTCTTAGTTCCCATCCCCCACTCCCTCTGACCCTTTCCAGAATCTTCCCAGCCTGTCACTGCTGGTTTCTGCAAGTCTTGAGAGCAGCTCCAGCGATACCCC